TCAGAACAAATTTACTGGTTTATTTTATTATGGTAAAAATACGAAATAAACTGTCCAATAATTGTGATTTTAACAAGTAAAATTTACTTTTTGGAAATTCAAATAAGTTTTGGGATGAATGTAATTCGTTAATATAGACCCACCGTTCCTGAAATTAGCAGTTTAATTTTGCTTTGATTGTTTAGTTTACCACGTTTAGTTTTACCACGTTTTAGTTTAGATAATTTTTTATAAACGTTTATGCACAGAAAAGCCTAATAATTCAAACAACTAGCCACATTTTTATAGCACCTCAGGAATAACCCGAAGAAATAATAAAATTTTGTTTCTGTCAATCTTTTGAGCGGGGCCATAAATGCTTCTCTCCAAATAATTCAATCTCCTGCGTGCAATTAACGTTAAGTGAGAAGACCTGAAATTAAATAATAGCCTCTGAAGTACTGGGATTGTGGAGCACGAGGTGATAGCCATAATTTGTGTACCTCTTATCTTCATGAAGAAGCTCCTGAAATTGGTGCCGATCATGAGTGGATCGATGACCTCGAGGCTTTGAAGCGTTTCATTGAATTCACAGCCGCTGCTCCTAATAAATATACCTGCGTATCATCTTCACGTCATCGTCATTGAGAATAGAATGCTTTCTACATTTTCAAATAGCGTAACACACCATACATCGATTTTCGTCATCATTTGGACTGGTACTCTTTGCAAAAATTTATCACTTGAGTCATTGTGTCATTAAAGTAATAGATTGTTGTGAACGTAACATTTGCGCTGGAATAAGTGCTCATTTTCGCGAGTCTTGTCAAATCTCTGTTTAATTTTTCGTCTGTCAGCCGTAGAGTTAACCACTGGGTCCGGAGCAGGAACAAATTGTGATGAGCTTCTTAGCAATCATGCTAGAAGATTTGATTATCTGTAAATGTTCTTCGTACATTTTTGAAATGCACAATTTGGCACATGTTTATGAATATTAATTGCTGTGAAAGTAAACCTGTGTTGTGAAAATACGTAATGTTTGTTTACGGGTTTCCTTAGAGAAACCGTGTTCATCTGGGAATAAAAGAGAAGAAAGTACTTCTGGATGCCTGCGCGTATTCAAATATTTCTCAATAAATAAATAAATTAAAGTTGCACTTAAAGCTTCAAATAGTCCGCAACATAAATTATAGGCAAAAATGAAGAAAAGCTTAATAAAGCTTGGACTGATGGCTTAGATCGACATGTTCAGAAGCGATTCTGACAGGAGCAACTTGAAATAATTGAGAATAATGGCAATATCAAAGGTATATTGCATCTTTCTTAAATTTCACTGCATGCTGTTATTGTTCCAAGTACGTTTGCGTATTAAATTTCTGACTCGATTCGCCAGCACGTTTCAGAAAATAAATTCATGAAATATATTTTGAAGTAATTTCATCACAAAGTAAAATCCGAGTTTTTTTAGTACCACAAAGTACTGAAAATATGATAAATTTTGCTCCGTACAGTCGCATGGGCAAATGCTTACATGGGATTCGTTGCCCTCGGTTAACATCCATAGCCGGAGCTCGGCTCCGGCTATGGCGGAGCTAGGCTCCGGCTATGGAGCCAAGCAACGGAATTTCCAAGCAAATCGAAGGAAAGGACTACGGTACCGAATGCGGAATGCGCTTTGACGGAGAGGCTATTCTAGATATTCCATGATATCTGGCAGAAACTTTCATACACAATCCCTATTACCATATTTCTCTCTGATGGATTCTAATGGAGTAAATCAAGTTCTCGCGATAAACTCGTAGCAGAATATAGAATTTTTCCCGAGGCTGCCATCATATCCCTTAACCAGTTCAAATTCACTCTCGATTGAGCTTCAAGGGTCTCCCCACAATCCGGCAGACAAAAGGGGCATAGGAAGATACAAATCATCAGAATGGCCAGAGTTATAGAAGAGCAAGCCACAAAATACCGGCCCATCGTAGGGTCCTTTTGTTCCTTAAGATTCGGTCAGGTTTTTGTGAAAGGCAGCTCTTCATTTTGCGTTGCCGCTGCCCGACTGGAAGTGACGCTGTTTTTTTTTTCGCCTTTAGACTTTCTATTGTTAGCAGCCCCAGTTCCATGGAACAAATTAAAAAAAAATAACGATAAAACCCCAAGTAACAAATTTAGTTTAAGCTTCACAGAAAAATCTCAAGTGAATTCATTCCAACTTCGTTGGCCGTGATAGATGTAAATTGTTGTATGCAGCAAGCGGTTGCAGAATTATTTTGAGCACTCATTTTTCTAACAAATCAACTATGTTTGCAACTGCATTAGCCTGACCCAAAAAACTATGTTTGCAACTGCATTCGCCTGACCCAACTAGCCATTAGCCGGACGCAACTGCAATAACTTGACCAGTAATAATATAATAATTAACTACCCTTGAATTGAATCATCTATCCCCAATTTTACCTCACAGAAAAGTCAAATAAATTTTTTAAAACCTACCCGTTCATATCGTACCGCACATAAATTATTACAACTGTTCCGATTCTTCAAGTTCGAGGGCAAGTGCTAGCATCCGTTACTTGATTTGTTGTTCTTCGGCCACAGCGACTTCCATTGCAGCATCTATGGCGGTCTTGCTGCTAAAGTTGAGTTACCGGTCGGCCCATTGTAGTATGAAGTATTGCAGAAGTTCTATATTTTTAATAATACAGTATTCCACGGATTGAAAGCCAAAAGCGGCGAGCGTATCAGGCTTTCGTGGAAAATTTTTTAATGAGCAATGGCATATTACGTAGGAAGATGTCACCAGGTAAATGCTTCAGTAAGTTTTTAGACGGACGATTGCCTAACCCTAAAACTACCAAATATCGGCAAGGCGCCAATCGTGACTGAATGATGGCACATTGGATGACAATTCTTGACGAAAGTGTCCAGAAAACCTTTCAATAAATAAAAATTGATCTTCATATCACACTTTATGAAAATTTTAAATGAAGATGAAATGAAATCATATGAGAATTTAGAAGTTTACAATCGGCAAACGGCATCCTCCTGTTAACGGATTGCAACGAAATCATGGAATTACATAAAGAATAATAAGTAATTTTCTGAACAATTAAGCTTAATAAATGCATGGTAAACTGAATCATTTTGCTCTTCCTATCAATCACGCTATTTTGTGAAGTAAATATCATCAAAGCGGCCTTATAACATCAAAAATTCGGCAAAGCGACCATGAAATCAAAAACTCAGACGAGAGATTGTACTTCTTCATATATGTATTGATATTAAGGTTAAATCCAGTTTCTGTCTTGCTAATTAGTTTCTAGCTTGACATCTATAACTGAAGTTGTACTTATTGGAAATTAAAATTCTATTTTCAGTATATAGTTGATTGCAGAAAATAAAATAATGCCTTGTTTTCTCATCACCGACGCGTTGTAAAAATTCCATGCTCAAGAACGTTCGCATTTTATTTTTATTCTGCTTTTATTTTTTGTTAATTTTTATTTGAATTTGTTCTACATGAATGGACCATTTGATTGTAGAATGAAAAGGTTACTGGATGATAAAGTTTATACAGTTAGAAATTTCCATACATCTTCTTCGCAGCACAAATTCTTTGATATATTATCTTCGAAATTGGGTCTTCATATTAACGTGACTATAACCTCCAGATTTCGAGAATACAGTATTTATCATTAGCTCTTCGAGTGAAATCCTTTTGGATCAAACTTGCAGCTCCAGAGAAAAATTTTTACACTCGAGAAAATGTGCCGCTAGTATGAATGAAATGCTCATAAAAATACATATTATAACAGTTTCAGATGAAACAGTGATGAATTTTGTTCTACGAATCATTTTGAATGGTTTAAATGAGAATTTTTTTTAAATAACTTAAATTGTAAACGCCATTCATAGAAAATCTCTGCAAAACACTAGCATTTGCAGTCACGTCGTCGGCTTTGCCTGAAGACTTAAGTAAACAAGTCGAGCTTTCCTCGGATCGCTTTCCTTGAGGGTTCGTGACTCTTATTGAAACCAAAAAACAAATTTGAGTACAATAAATATTTACTTCCGTTTCGGATCGCCATGTCCTCATGGCCTCACTCTGAGATGTTTTGGTCTTCAAGAATTTGAAATCTAATGAAAGAACTTTCAGGAAATTTTGTAGTTAAAATTTAAGCAAGTTATGTTTTATATGTTTAATTTATGTTTAATTAAATGTTTTTAAGCTTATATATATTATATACCCGTGGTTCAGGGTTAAATTTTTTATTTAATATACGACACACGCAATCCATTTCTTTTATTTTCAAGTTCATTTTTCCAGCACGCTAGATGAGCACCGAGACATTCAGGCACATTAATTTCTGCTTAATTGTAACATTTTAAATGATCTATTTATTCTTATACCCAGAGATATTGAAGTATGCACCCAGTGAGGAAAAATTGTCTGCACTTTCATGGTCTATTTCAGACTGAGAATGCAAATGACCGTGGACGCCAATACCACCATATGTTGTAATTGATACTACGAATCAAAATTTGAAAATAGGAACCGAAAATTAATTCAAATCTGTAGTCACGGCATGCTCAAGGCTCTTTGTCCTGCTCCAATACGCTGCAGTTTTTAAAATTTTAAATTTGGAAATTTAAACTCGTTTTCACGAGCATTTTTATGACTTTTTCGCTTAGATTTTAGCGATGTGTGAGTTTCTAACTCTGCGGCCCAAGCCCCCTTACCATTAATTTATTTGTACGTCCCAATTGCTATTGTGCTTGAAGAAAACTGTAAAATTTTGGTTGGAGTCCGCAGGCGCCAGCAGTAGCCGGCTGCAGGCGTTGGAGGTGCCACAATACGCCTAAAAACTCTAACTCTTTTGTTGATGTCAGCAGGCGCTAGCAGCAGCCTCCTGCAGGCGTTGGAGACTTTGTTGATGTCAGCAGGCGCTAGCGGCAGCCTCCTGCAGGCGTTGGAGGTGCCACAATACGCCTAAAAACTCTAACTCCTTTGTTGATGTCAGTAGGCGTTAGCGGCAGCCTGCTGCAGGCGTTGGAGGTGCCACAATACGCCTTCGTGTCGGGCACCGCGACGCTGCGCTGCGTCTACGACATGAGTGACACCAAACTTTACTCCCTCAAATGGTATCACAACAACACGGAGTTCTACAGATACGTGCCAACAGAGAGGAATGGGCCGGTCAACATTGGCCCCACGGACATCTTCCTACTGCACGTGAGCTGAAACTAATTTTACAGACTTAAGAGAAGAATATCTACAAAATATTTTACAGCTATTGCTACACAAAGGAAATGTAACGTCAGATAACACATATCGATCATTTTTTCAATATGCTGAATTTGTATTGATTGTCTAAAAGAAATAATATTTTGAGGTGAACTAAAATCCGCCGGCGATCAGTCAGGTAGGGTGATGCCATGTACACTCCTTGTTACGACAACAAATTTATACTTATACTCGTATATTAAAAGATAAAATACATATTTTAATCATTTAATAATTGAAACATTACCTGGTAGAAAAGCTGGTAATGTGTCCCGCTTCTACAGGAAGTGTCCCGTGACGCCCGCCACGTGACGCTATCCTTGGGACGCCTGACGGCGGCGGCGACAGGGACGTACAAGTGCGAGGTGCTGGCCGAGCATCCCTCCTTCAGGACCAAGTCTGCCCAGGCCTTCATGACGGTCCTCAGTGAGTGCATTGCTTTATAACAGTGGTTCCCAAAGTGGGTGATATCGCCCCCTTTGGGGCTGTGGGAAGAGTTTGGGGGGGGGGGGGGTAAAGAAGGAAAGGGCGGCAGGGCGATTTGTACACAACACGTGCAGCACATGACTTCTATCGATGGTTTTTTTCACCCAGATCTGATTTTTCAACCTCTCCTGGGTTTAAGTCAAGGACAAATAAACGGCCGGACTCGCGGCCGGTATCACAGCCAATTTCCAAATTCAATGATCAAGGGATATCTCTCAAACTAATGAACTTGACTCGATGAAACTTGGTATAGATATTCATTAGCACATAACGGTAATGTTTAGCTCGTTAAAATTTGTTGAATTTTGCCTTCATTTGTTTTTGCCATAGTTATATCAATGGCATTACGGGCCGAAATTCACAGTGATCAGGGAATTTCTTCCAAATTACTGAACAGATTCGAACGAAGTTTTAAATTTACAGTCCTAACTACCGAACGGTAATGTTTAGCTCGTGAAAATTTTTTTCGATTGTGCCTTCATTCGCGATTTTTTTTCATTTTACCTTCATTTGTGATTTAAACAACAATACCTGCTTAAATTTGCAGTAATAGAGAAATTTTGATTGCCGTGAATTTAAGCGACAAATTACCCAGTGATACGGGCCGAATATAAGAAAGTGTGAAATCGAGAATGAAGGTGAAATGAGAAAAAATCGCAAACGAAGGTAAAATAAAAAAAAATTATAAGCTAAAAAATCACCGTGTGGTAGTTAGGAATATATTTTCAAAGTTGCGTTCCAATCTGTTCAGTAGTTTGGAAGAAATTCTTTGATCACTGCGAATTTCGGCCTGCATCGCAATATAACTCACGAAGGAAGGTGAAATTTAAAATATTTTTACGTACTAAACATCACCGTTATATAGGTTCTGATGAATACATGTTCCAAGCTTCATTGAGCTGCGTTCATTATTTTGGGAGATATTACTTGATTATTGAGTTTGGAGATTGATCGTGAGACCGGCCACAAGTCCCGCAGTAAATTTGCCCAAAACGTCCTAGTTTCTAGTGCTGAAACAGTTAAAACAGCTGAAAAGGTATTGGTTCATTAAATAGGGTTCTATTTGTGAAATACACCTTTGTGTTTAGCCTTTACCTTTTAAAATTTCTGCGTACTAAATTTCAAGAAAGAGGCGTATGTTTTTATATGTGTCTGTGGGGGGCGATAGAAATTCACTAGGGAGCCAAAGGGGGCGCAAGCCTGAAAAAGTTTGGGAACCACTGCTTTATAACAATATTTCATTAAAACATTTATCATCTTAATTATTTTTTATAATTCTCTCAAATTTAAGCGATGTGCATATTGCGTGGAATAGTTAGGAGAGTAGCAGAACACAAGAATTTATGCTCTCAGGATTGTTGTTGTTTGAAATTACCTGCTAATCCTCGTAATCTGGATCGGCTTCTATATGAATACAATAGCAAACAACCAACTGTAAAATCATGTTAATCATATCCAAAAGCTGGTAGCCATTTAATAATAAGTAATACTTGTAGGGTAATCAGAAGGGCAATATGTGTCTGAACCTAAGCATTCCTGCAATGAGTGCCAAGTTATTTGGATTGCGTCGAGAACAGATCATTTTTCTTGTTCTTTTCGTACAAGATTTCTACCATTTTGCGTTGCACAAGAGAATGATAATAATATATAAGATGGGCCGCTTGTGAGAATGTGAGAGAATGGCCGCGCCTCCGTCGAGCATTTATTCGGCAGCCGTTTTTTTTCTGGACTAGAGATGTTATGAAAGCCCAGGATGTTATTGTAGGGGGTATTCTCATTTTCATAAGGGAAATAATTTCGTCCCATGAATAATTCTTCAAGATACAGATACTTACGTTACATACGTCGAGAACTTTATTATTTATTTAATTAATATTGATAAAATACTGTCGGTTTTAATATTGTCAAGGAGATAACTTCTTTATCTTGTCACGTTGGAGGGTTTCACTTGGTTGATACATGCATGTGTTGATGTGAAAAATCCTTAATAATAAATTTATTAAAGTCAGAGCATCAAAAAATTGTACCTTAGTTCGTGAATATGATTTTTATAAAATTAAATGCCACGAGATCTTATAGACGGTTTTCAGTTAGGAATATCAATCATCGTAAAGAACTCAAGTTTCTCTGAAAATTTTGTTCTGAAATGCGTGGTTTCTTTTCATTTTGATGTTATTTAGGTGCTGTCACTTAGTATGATAAATTAGCGTCTTCACAAAACCAGCAGGCAGCTTCTCTTCATAGCGAAACCTACACAGACCGCCATTTTATGAAAAACAGACGCGCAGCTTCTGAACAAAAACTAACTTTCAAAGCGCATTCAGGGATCCTTGATACCAAATATAACTCTGTTGGCAGTTGAAATGGCAGAGAATCTTTCTGTAACTTCTATGGAAATTATTTGATAAACGTCATTGATTTTAACTCTTAAAATATTTCATTTATTAGCTACGAAATTTGCTATAGAGGGATGAAGTGAATTTTTAGTAGAATAAATTCAATAAATCCTGGGGTTGTTAATTAATCTATATGCTGAATTGTTTACACTTATACGCTAAACGATGGGATAAACACGCGCTGGTCGAATAAAGCAGTGTAAGGATATTGGGTAGGAGCCGTTATTCAATATTTATATAGAGTTTCAACAGTTTTTCAAGTTTTCTAAAAACTTCCTTTTCAATTACACTTAGGCGTCGAATAATGATTCTGGATAAAAAAGACACATATTCGACGCCTAAGTGTAATTGAAAAGGAAGTTTTTAGAAAACTTGAAAAACTGTTGAAACTCTATATAAAAATAAAGTCCGATTTATTATTTCTGTATTCAATATTTCTAAATTAATTGCCGGTTTTTTGATGTTGCCAAGAGCGAATAAACATAAATCTAAGCGGAGGAAGAACTCAATCTGAGAAATCCTTCAAACGCCTAGTTTTATTTGTTTGATCATTAAAATAGTTTCAGCGGGAATTAAGGTGTATCATAATGCAGAAAAATTATGTTTGAAAATGCAAATGCTAATAATTCTTCTGGTAAATATCTCCAGAAGTCCCTATCTTTCTAAATTGCTCCAATTATGAACTCCCAAAGGACGCTCGCGAGACGATGATTAAGCCCGTAAATGGCGAGTCCAGCAGAAATTATTGATCTTTTCAATCGTGCCAGAGAATGCTTCAGAAAGAGGCGAAAAAAAGGGAGACTTAAATATTTCATGCAAGATGTAAAGTCTGACACGACAGTCGCGGGGTGCTTCTTGGTTCCGAAGTTAAGTGAGTCTGATAGTTGGGTGCCTGAGTCAAGAAGTTGGCGTCTGAAAGAGAAGGCAATCGGTAGGCAAGAAAGATGATCAGCTTCACGCAGTACCACTATTCCAAGTTAGAATCAGTGTAAGTTTCAGTAAAATCTTGAAAAATATTTTTAAATACGTTAAAGGGGTAACTCGTTTGAATTGAACGTAATTTTTGAGCAACCATTGAACTCGTGAAAAAACATGTACAGGGGTTAGACAAAACAAAGAAAACACCTGAGAAATCCACAAAATACATTTTAAGAGGGTGGAGGCCCATTTTTGCGGCAGTTACAGCCTCTATTCTCCGAGGAATTGATTCATGCAAATTGTGAATTGTTTCAAAGGGAATTTTAACCCATTATTCAGTTAAAACTCCCTCCAGCTCCTTCACAGACGATGGCGGTGGGTATCGACTTCTGATTTGCATCTTTAAAATCGACCATAAATGCTCGATAATATTCTGGTCTGGTGATTTTGCTGACCAAATAAGATGCTCAACTTCATTAGAATGTTACTCGTGCCATTTTTTAACAATTATCACCTTGAAATATGGCGTTCCTCTACGGAAACTTTGCTTGAACCATTGGATGTACTTGGTTCTCAAAAATTTCTAAATAGTCACGGCTGTTGATTCTTCAACGAAGAGAAGTCACTGGACAGCCGGATTTCCAAGAAATAGCACCCCATACCTTTACAGATCCCCAGCCATGTTTTACGGTTGGAAGGAGGCAGTCGGGATTAAATGACTCTTTCGGCTGTTACCAAACGTAAACTCGGCCAGAGGTTGGAAATAAGGTAAACGATGATTCGTCAAATCACATTTTTCACAGATTGAAGGACCAATTCTGGAGGGTTTTCACCGCTTTAAACGCTTTGCAGCATATGTATTTGAAAACAGAGGTTTTCTAAATGCAACTTTTCCATAGAATCCAGGTCTGTGAACCTTTTGGCGTATAAACTGTCTTTATGGAAACTGGGTTCGGTAGGTGTCCATTGAGGTCTGCGGTAATTTTAACAGCCGTGGTCTCTCGATTGTCCCTCACAATTCGATTTAGGTGCCGACAGTCTCTCTCAAACAATTTCGACTTTCTGCCAAACCTGTGCTTGGCTGAGGACGTTTATCATTCGCTCTCAAAAACAGTCATCGCCTTTGAGACAGTACCTCAAGAAACGTAGGGCATTCCGGAAATTTATGTCATACTAGCATCAGTCATACGGGCACCGACAATTTGGCCTCTTTGAAAATCAGTGAACTTTGCCATTTATATGTTCGATTATAGGCACAAAAATTTACTAAGAATACCTATGCAAGGATAAAATATCAATTGGCAGCAACAATAAACAATAAAACGTAAAAATATCTCACCTTTTCGTTGTTTATAAGATGTTCGAAAATGACGATATCAAATTGTCAGGTGTTTTCCTTATTTTGTCCAACCCCTGTATCTTCTCATTATTAACATGAAGTAACAATTAAAATACTTCACATGCATTAAATTAGTTAAATCGTTCAAGTTAGTTAAATCGTTCAAAGAAATATCCGAGCAGCTTACGTGAATTACCAACATAAAAGCTTAAATCCGGTTAATTAAAATAGAAAGAGCTTATTAGAACGAGCTTAATTTGAATATTTTAAGGGTGACTTGCGTTAACGGCTTTAACGGTAGACATGGTGAGGCGGCGTCAGTTTTAGGTCATTCTAAAGCGGACGCTGCTTTACATAATCTCGCATTTCGCTAACACGCCTCCCGGGCTTGCCCTCGCCGGGACAGGCACTGAAACCAGTGCCTGTCTGCAGACAAGGCAAGCCTGTGGTCAAGATGCTGCGTCTCACCGAGGATGCAATCTTTTAAGAAATTCGACCATTTGGCGCCAACGTTTTAAGTTTCCCTGGCCGGGTGGAGAATTAAAAAATGATGAGATCAGAGCTCAAATGGATATCATTTCTGATGATTTGCTCTATGAATATGAAGTTTTATGATGCACTAAGAATTTTTGGTGATTGATTTCCAAAGTTCGGACATATAATAAAATATTTACCGGGACGTCGAATTTCAACATACCATGGGCATGCACGTTATCTCAAGCAGTAATAATAACTCACATATATATAAGTAATGTATATTGAAACCCGGGTTAAACTCCCACCTTACCAGAGTCCTCCATTGAAGTACTTTTCTCAATATAATCAAAACTATAATTTTTTTAGTTTACTGCACAATGTGCCTTATATGGATGTTAGGTTACAATTTTATTTTGAAATTCAACCCGTCCTTCGCAATGTCTTTTTTTCAGTTTACCCGCGCTCGAATAAGCTCAATATAGATTTCTAATTTCCTTCGTAAAACATAAACAAACACACACAAACTTTTAAAAATATTTCCTAAATCTCAGAGAAATTTAATTTGAGGCAAGTGTTATCAATAATTATATTGTTCTTCGTCAGGTGCGCGCTTGGGCCCGCCAGAAGTAAGAGGCGTGCGCGACATGTACGAGCCCGAGGACACCATCGTCGTGACGTGCCATCACGGCCGAGACTCGCCGTCTGAGCCGCAGCCTCGGCTCAGTTGGTTCATTGACGGCAAAGAGGTGAGCGCTGCAGGACAAACGCGCATTTAACTCACCGTCCGAGCCGCAGCCTCGACTCAGTTGGTTCATTGACGGCAAAGAGGTGAGCGCTGCAACGCGCACTTTCGGAAGTTATGATAATGAATTTGAAGATCTTAATAAAGAATTTTTCAGTAAAATTCACGCGTTTCTTCGTGAGAAATCCATCAGTCAAACTTTATGTAAGCTGCAATAATATCAACTTGCGGAATTTCTTGGTACGCTTCAAAGGGATGCAGTGTTCTGAATCACAGAATAAACAATATGTAATGTCACATGACAACTTGTCAAGTGTTATTGAAACCTTCACTGTGCCTTTCTTCAAACGCAGTACCCGGAAGCAAAATTAAAAACTATATGATGATGCTTAGGTTGAAATTAATTTAAGAAATACACCAATCAATGGAGTGAGGATTCATCATATTCAAATAACATACAAGAGTTATAACAATACGTAGGCAAGTGAGCAATTCCCGATTACATTATACTAAATTGCTGAATCTGTTCAGGAGCTAGGCGTCAATTCATGTTAGAATATTACAATGGGAACAGGTTCATAACTGAACTGATAGCGCATGGCAGGAATGCTTCAGAAAATGCTGGCTTGAATAGTATTGCAATTTCTTAATTTTCTTTCATATGCATTTGGATAATCCGTCTTATACTTTATAGTCGAACGCAGGAGTCGAATTTTCCAAGTTTAGACCAACTCAAGAAAGCGAAATAACTGAAGAAATATTCTACCTTTTCAATATATGCACCGTCTTGCAGAATGCAAAGCAGAGGCAGATTCCGTCCCGCGGTGCCGATTGCCCTGATACGCTGTAAATCCTCAGTTCTTAAGAGGCAGTGCTGAGCTAATTAAAACAATACGTCCTTGACGGTCGTGCTGCACTGATTATTTATGCACCAGGCGCTTTTGGTGGGCCTTCATTTCCTAGAAATGATTAGGAAAAATTAAATGTACAATATAACGGAACTGATTTTTTTAATTCTCAGCCGTTCTCATGCGGGTATGTATTCAAGTCTAAAAAATATACATAAAAATAGGAGTATTTTTTTAAATGCAATACGAATTTACAATAGCAAAAATATCTCTAACAAATGGTGATGTCTGGATTTATATAATTGATAAATAAATAATTAAAAATTCATGTCTAAAATTTTTGAAATTTCGATGGGAAATAATTTTCTCTTGAACTTAAAACGCAATAAATTACGCAACAAATAATTGCAATTTTATCATATTAATTCCAATTCGGGAATATAGACTCGAATGTTGATGCGAACTTTCGTACCTAGCTGTGCGCGACTGGACATTAAATCTGATCTTCATCCAAATTTATTCGATTCACATTATATTCTAATCACTATATACAAGGTTTGGACAGATTTTTGTTTATAAAAGCTAAATTACTGTACTTGGAAATTACTATGTATTAAACTGTCGCTCCCTTTTTTGTTAAAATGATCAACTTGAATTATTTCTTCAAGCCTCTTTCCACTTCATTCACAACCTCATTGAACTTCGATCATCTCGCGCCAGACTTGAAGGAGCCCCAGAGAGATAGCTAGGCTACCAGTTTAGGGAAGGTACTCGCATTTACGCCCATACAGCCATATTTCTCCCTGGCTCGGCGTTTGCATGATACCGAGTAGTCTTATCGATTTGATTTCGCTCCGTGGCTCACAGCGAGGTTGGCGGCTCGTAAATTAGGATGAGGGCGTTCATCAGCTCCGCGCATCCGTCATGCAAAAATATAGCGAATAGGCTTATATAGGAGCAATTTTTTTGACCGCATACATGGATGGCATTGCCTGCATTTTAAACCTCGCCTCTGCACACCTTATATATCACGACAGCTAATTCTAGTATTCTTTCAATTCCGACTTCCACATATTCTAAATTTTTTCACGGTAAGAATATTTGCTTTTCTCGATCATTATCCATCATAGTATGATATTGTCTAATAAATGTTTTTGCATATAGTTTTTAAAACCAGTAAGTACTCGTCCACAAAGTCGTTACAACTCACTCATCGAAAACCAGAGAGAAAATCCATTAAGAATGAAAGTTTTTCCATCAGATATCTAGGGAAAATATTTTCCTTCAAATTTTCGCTAGAGGCTCGAATTTTGCATTCGATTTGTGTGACCAACCGTCAATGCGTACGATTTACACTAAACGCTCATGACACCGACCATCTCCAGACTCACGTTACGCATTAGATAATAAGTTCACCTCCAGTCTCAGTACTTAATACTCATCTGAATACTCCATCTTGTTCTCAATACCGTGCCTCGCACTCACTCCTCTGGTTGGGGCCACAAATAGCCCGTCTTGCCATCGATTGGGGAGCGTGACAGAGACACCGATAAGTGACGTCAGATCTTGACAGATGGTTGACAGATGGCCGCTGCCATCCGCAGCAGCTCGCAATGAAGTGTTTTAATGCTCACTAGTATGGCGGATCAATAAATCTTCAAGCAGGGCCCTGGTACTGAACAGGAGCGCTAGAACCGTTTAGCGCATGTTTCGAACTTTCAAATAAAAAATTGGAAGGAGTTAAGGATTCACAAGTCTATTGTTAAATGTGCCATATTCTTTGAGTGTTCTCTTTGGCTTTGGAAAGTCTATATTTTATTATTTTCGACCTTTCACAGTAAATCTAATTCGATGTCGTTAAATCATCCTATCCCTGCGCCACTTAACCCCGCCAATCATACCTGACCCGTTTGCTAAATTACCCCGCCGATCATTCACAAAATCCTTATGCTAAATAACCCTGGCAATCTTTTTTACACTCTCCATAGAAAATTAGCCCATGTATTATACTATTACTAAATCATTTATCAAGTTCCATCCAGCTTTGGAACAGAAAAGTTAATTTTCACGTGAAATATACTTTATATCTTTATAAATATACTTATATTCATAAACATATTCAAATTTCTGACGCCTAGAATTATCGAATTTTCTGTAGTAACTGAAAAAACTGAAACTCCTTAAAATGAAAATGATACTAAAAACTGAAATTCCTTATTGTCTTCTCTAAAAATAATGCAAGGATTCACATATTTCTTGAATATATATATAGAGCGCATTGGTACTGATCGAATTGCTAACTAGAATTTGAGAAATTAACTTAAGGTCTTCTGAACAAAATTTAATTTGAGCAGACAATCAATATTTTACGTGGAAATTGAATGACAGGAAATTTGGTGACTGCAAATTGTCATTCTATAAACTAAAAAATTATTATCAAAGTTATTATTCGTTCTGGCAAGGATAATAACAAAAATGAATCTCTCACCTCCAAATTGAAAATTTGTTTGTAAATGAATGAATTTGAAATCATTATCATTAGTAAATTTTATCAATAGTAAAATTTTAATCACCTCCTAGCTTATGTATCATAATAACCTCTCAATATTGAATCGTAAATTCATTCCGATAATCAACAAAGAACTTCTCTTTCACGCCACAGGTCGGCTCCCCGCTACTGGAGGTGCTTGGCGGTCACAGACCCGACGGTGGCACGGAAGCTCTGAGCCTCAAACTCCCCGCCCAGCAGGTCAGACATGTTTTGTCGCTCATGCTAAATCATGCGGTGCTCACACCTACTTTTTTTCTTCTCGATAGGCAATAGTTACCGAATAATCTAAGTTCTGTTTTAGTACCATTTTTATCAGTCTTTCCCTTGATAGGATACTGAATAGGTATGTGTTCTTGCGTTCAGGTGGTCGAGGCCGGAGGCAGCGTGCAGGTGGAGTGTCACGTCAGCCTCTGGCCCTTGCAAGACAGAGCCGTCAAAACCCTCAGGGTCAGGATGAGGGATAACTTCTTCTCCATATCAGGGGCTCGCGGTGAGTCACTTGTCTTGTCGTGAAGGTTGGGACAATTTGCCAAGAGGATGTCCCGACGCCAGATAGACATTAGTCGTCTAGTAAAGCTTGGTCTTCCTACAGATCTATAAGCATCTTTCCGTATTTCTTCCGGCTTTCTCTAAGGAACTGAACATCGCCTTCTACGCACATGCCATGGGCTTTCTGGTATTTAGCTACTTTCGCTCTTTCTTTCGACATCTCAGAACTAAACTGCTTCTTCGGTCTCGCTGAAACTATTTTTTACTGATGAACCTGTCATGTACTTTTTCTTTTACTTGCATATTTAGTAATTAAAATTAACCATGCACTCCGTCTCCGATAGCTTTCAAGTATTCGTATATGATCTCCATATACTGTCGCGGCGCACGTGCTGCCGCAGTTTACAAGTGTCATCCCATCCACAAAAGCCGTTTGTGATCGTTAATTTTTGGTAGTACGCTTCTCTTTGAAGGATGAAAACAAGATACTGGTGTTTCATGACCGTAAAATCAGACGCTTTACATATGGGACTTAGATTTCTTTATTCGACTTAGACTACTCAACAGGTTACATCTAATATAGCTACCTAACGAAACTTAGTTCTACCCAAAACCATTTACTTAGTTCAAAAGTATGACGATTAATTAAGAGAAAAATAATTTCAAATCAAGGATAACCCAGCATTAATTATTACTGTTTGAACTTAATGAGGATCAGTGAGGACATAATTAATCAGTTAATTATGTACAGTCCAGTTTTTTACATTAGAATGGTCTCCTATATTGATTACTCATTGAACATTTTCTAATTGCGTTTATCACTGATATTACACTCTATCACGCAAAACATATCTCATGTAATAATTTGTTGCGGGATGCAACCAAAGAGCAGTTGTTCCAATACATGAATTACGTCCCGATATGCTCCTGCATGAGACTCTGGGGCGAGATTTTAACACTTAAAAACTCTGGACTAAATATAGCTTTGCGGCAAGAATAATAACAGAAAATTATTTCAAAAAAATCAATTTGTGTAACATGCCGCTGAAGTTGCAAGCTTCAATTAGTTGTTCAAAATTCAAATCTTTACAATAAATCATATATCAGAAAATAAAGATGACGAGGATGTCGTGTTAGTTATCGTTGCTTTACGGAGTGCTGTTATCTCTGCAGGTGGAGGTTGCGACGTTGTGAGCTTCATGGCTGCAGCGATGCTTGCTGCGGCGTGTCCATACTTCGGCATCAGCTGAAGCTTCGCCTGTTGCCAGGAAGATTGTTAGAACAAAACCACGCAGTTTGGTAAAAGATGGCTTAAAATTTTGCTGGAGGTAAATCCATACGCAATAATATTTATCCACAGAAAATCGGGATATTTCATTTGCATTATTTGCATCAAGGGGACAGAAAAAAACACCAATGCGGATGCAGAATCACATAACGCATTAGCACTTCGATGAGCGCAGTTTGATACATTGAAAACTTTGATGTCTATACAAGAGTTGCATACTAATCAGACAGCAAAATGTTATAGTTTATTAGTGCATGTGAACTTTATTGCAGTTGATATATTGGCCAACAAATTTATCTTTAGATACGATATTATCAGATACGATATCTCGTATATAAAGGCACTTTATGGAATCAAAAAAAACATCCGGAGTATGATTATTCTATCCAGGAATCAATGCCCGAAGAATGATTTACTTCATAAAACCACGCCCTGTTTATATCTTCCCGCATCTGAGATGTCGCTGTGCGCGTGATACATACCGCCATCATTTGCTTCGTGCCCGCGTCTGAATTCATCTTCCTCCATATGTGGTCTGCTACGTGATAGTATCAATAGATAATGAGTTTTCTAAGCCCTATACATATATATTTATTGATAGTTTTGTGTTTGTACTAAATACTTATAGATACAGATATTTTATTATCTTCACTAATGTTTGGTTGTGACTTGTGACAGAGCGCCAAAGATAGTGTGCCGCTTGTTTGCGGTTGAGGAGAGCGTGTTGGCAGCACTGCAGATCGTACGCAACATCTTCGAATGATTGTGTAAAATTTTAGCCAAGCTTGTGCCAGGTGAACATTCCGTTTAGAAATAAGATGAGTAGTCTTTATCGTCTGCTTATAAGCGTTATTTTCTCATTGATTAATGATATGTTACAAATCATCATGTTGACGTACTTATCCACTTATGAGCTAGTCGGAGGATTTCCCATTATTTCGTACACATTTTCGCACAACAATGTTATCATAGTTATTTTGAATATTGAACTTGCATTTGGACTTTAGTTTATTCATAATATTGGTCAGAGGTACGGATGTCGTGTATTTAAAAATGACTGGTAAATCTAAGTGTGTCAAATATTAGTCAGAGGCATGAAGCCTAGATTCACTGGTCTGGCAGGGATAACAAACGAAAATGTAAATTCAATTATTGAACGAAAGCCTTAATGGAACAGTTCTGTAATTACCTATCTTTCGTTATCATTTAAGCTACTCGATAAAGTGAGTTCAATTCAATAATTTGATATCTAATTCGAAGACGTGGTGGCCAAAAATGTTTCATTTTTTGCGTATTTTAAGAACTATAAATTTATAGCTAGAAAACTTGAACTCGGACCAGCCAGAGTTCTGGGAGTCGCATCGCTGCCGCACAGAAAAGATCTTGTAAGAAGTATCGGCCACTTAGTTGTATCTAAGCTACCGACCAAACTGAGCAGCGGTGTGACTCTTAGCGAAGTAGATGTAGCTTCCATGCAATGATCACTTTAAAATGCCTAACTTTGAATCCTGATTTATAGCTTATAAGTGATTATAGAAATGATTATCGATTCTACTCCATTTTTATCTTAATATTTTCTCTTGGATGGTAAGCGTAGTGATATGAATAAATTAAGTTTCAAATATCGATTCAGGTCCAATAAATGTTCGAATATTTTAGTCTGCCTAATATAAGGATAGTTTGCAGTGAGTAGAATGAGTAGTAATAATATGCGTTTAAAAATACTTTTTAAATACCACACCTCTAAAGAGGCCAGTGTCTCCGATGTTACACATGTGCTTATTTTATTATTTTGAAATTATTGCATTAAAAATATATATTTCATTTGATTATATTTGACGATTCTGTCAATTGATTTGTGAATTGTCTTCGACTTTACGCCAGTGTGCAAAATCGCAGATCGATTGGAGAGGTAGAAGTGTGTTAAATATCGATTATAAGATTTGTAGCAGACAGACAAACAATAATAAGTGGGGATAAATAGAAGTGCGGTAATAATAATATGCGTTTAAATATTACTTTTTAATGACAACACTTCTGAAGAATCCAGTGTCTTGGATGTTAAATATGTACAATGAATTTTTAATTTTATTTTCAGATATTAAAAAAATGATTTTTCAAAATTTGTTTAAAATATCAAAAATTTTTATATTTTCAAAATTATTCGTTCTTTCAATTGATTCATGCATTGTCTCTGACTTTATGCAATTGTACAAAATTTTAGATCAATTGGACAGGTCAAATTGTGTCATATATGGATTATAAGATTTGTAGCAGACGAAAATATTTTTTAATTCTTTTTAATAATAAAAAAAACAATTTTTAATTTATAAAATTATTTATTCTGTCAATTGATTCATGCATTGTCTCCAACTTTACGCAAGTGTGCCAAATTTCAGATCGATTGGACAGGTAGAAGTTTGTTAAATATCGATTATAAGATTTGTAGCAGACAAACAAACAAACAAACAAGAAGAGAAGTTAAAGAGAAGTGTTGTAAAAAGACAAAACCAAATTTCAAGATGATCGTTCTACCTCTCCAGTTTGTGGAGTTCACTGCCAAACAGCGTTTCACTTGGGATATTTATACGTTATCAGTAAACTTCCCTTACCCCATGATCTCTTCATCAGTTATTCCTGTATTATACTTCCAACTTCGATCCAGTGCCAACTTCGATCCAGTGCCAGCGTGCGATGAAGCTTTTGAGTAAGATTTGAAGGCCTCTTAACACTTTGACTGCGACGTGCGCCATATATGGTACACGCATGCTTGTCCCAAACTGCGATGTGCGCCATATATGGCGCACGCTTGAAAAATTTAATTTTTTAGAAAAAGTTCTTTAAAATATCAGCCTGATCATAAACTTGTGAAAAATATGATGGATAATTGACAATAATGTTTTCAAAAACCTATATGAACGTCGTGCAATCGAATCATAAGAATTTTAGTAGTTGGAATGTAGCCTGAAATAATGAGTGAATACGAAAAAGAAAAAGTATTAAATAAATGGGGTTATCCTGTTCCAATATGTTGAAAATCATTTTTCGGTATTGGTATGGATTACAGCAGTAGAAAATCGAGTATTAGTCATTCGAAAGTTGCCTAAGCTCACACAGAAACAGAATGGCACTGTAAAAAGCAAGATAAACAGTGATACGGATTCCGAGTACTCAGTACTGGGCTAGCAATTGATAGTTACTTTTCTAGCTTTTAATCTCACTTTAGCACCAACTAACTTCCTTTTTTTGCAATTATGTTAAAGCAAGACTCAGATCAGTAGCTCGTCATGGCATGAAGTTCAGATCCTCAGCTTAAAATACTTTAGAGCTGGAACACCAACATCTAAAATCATTGTGATTTGGTTATAGAAACATTTCTTCACGTGTCTGACCTTTTACTAGTGAAAATACATTCAGTAATCTTCAACGACTTCAGCAATTCACATCGATTTTTACTGACTATAGAACTGATCACCAAGCACCCAGGCATTTGCTACAGTTTTTGCCAATAACTTGAACAGTTGTTGGTACCACTTCATGCTATGCTTAGAGCAGTTTTGTAAGAAATCATCTAAATAAATTATAAACTTCCCATTTAGCAGCATTTTACCCCAGAATGATTTGTAGTTTGATTATTGCAGTCACAATCCGATTTCATTTGCACAGAAAATGTTTTTTTTCAAGCGTTAGTACCCGTGTGATGCAAGTTTTTTATTGTAGTTGAATAATAAATACCGTGTACCTCATATGGCGCACGTTGCCTAGAAATATGAAAGTTTCCATCCCAGGCGACATGCACCAATAGAGGCTCACAGTTTTTATGTCAGAAGCTTGTAGAGCTCGCTCAGACAAGAGCAGCGCACTAGCCCTGATCTTGCTGCCTTGTCTGTAACTAAAGTTATTCAAGTTTGAATGAGTCGCACCACAGGACAACAGGCTATTTTGTGAGTCGCAGTCAAAGTGTTAAATCACGCCTGATATTTACATAATCCATGGAGACTCCAAATTCAGCAATAAAAACGCTTCCATACGATTCATCAATGAGCTATGGTCCAATTCAGAAGTGTGTTGCAAAGAGAATTACTTTTAGATCAATATTTATATACATCAAAAATATCTCACGAACCTATTAATTTAATGATTGATAGTGCAATACCTGTAAAGTCTGGCAGTAATGAAGACCTTACTACTGTGCGTTCTGTATGAATTAGGTTATTCATTTGTAGTGTTTTGTTATTGCTAGCCGAACGCTCTAGAAAATCTACTCAGTTTTAATGAAAGTTTAAAATTTCATTAATCTTCAGCTGTCATTCCCGAAAATTGGAAATAGAATGAATCGTGAAGTTTGAATGAGAAAAAAGTGTATGCCACTTTGGACAAGATAAAAGGTCCGATGGAGTCCAAACGGGTCCAATTAAGACGCTTTGCGATTCATTCAGATTAAATATAATTTAGAACCAATCAATAACGCTTAGTATCGATAGATCCTGCTTTGCGAAAGATTAAAACGAATATTGATATTTATGAATTCAGTTAGTCGAAGGTTCAAGAGTTTGTGACTGACGAATGAAGAAAATATAAAATTTGATTTCTATGCTAATGAAATGTCATCAATTACGATTTGACAACATTTTGCAAATCCATGAACAAACAACTGCTCAATTAAACTTGAGCGAGCTTGTAATAGAGTGTAGTAATTCAATACATTTTCAGTATGCATGAGAAATTTTCATTTCTTCATTCCAGAGTTGAAATCGATAGTCGCGCGATGCGCTTCAAATCGTTCAAATTATTCATTAATTTTTCATTGATTGCATATTGTTGCTACCTGCAGTTAATTTCATTTTATTTTAGAAAGCAAAAATCCATCCTCAAAAAAAAGTGGCTGACTCGCTATAGAAGGTTTTACTAGTGCAGGTGCTTCATAGTTTTGGAGTGCAAATTTGATGGATAACACAATTCGTATTGTTTTGAATAGCGTTCGGATTTATCATGTCATGAAAGGCTAACAGTTTCCAATCTATGTTTTGTTGTAATGTAAATCCTGAAAGTTTCCTTGTAACACGAGCCAAAAAATATACAGTTTGGTAA